GCTATTCTGAGAAACAGTAGTACATGGATATTAATTCCTTGTTTTATATATACATTATTTTTTCATTCATATCTTTAGTGACCAACTGCTAAAGGGAATACAACCCAAGTGGAATTGTTTAGCTACTTTCCTAAAAGGGAACAGTCCTGCTTCTTAAAAGAGTTGTTTCTGTTTATTTTCACCTTGTTCAACTTCACACTTTGCACCTAATATTTAAAATCTCCCTATCGAGTGTTCATCCACAAAGAAAAGCAGAGGAATAGAAGATTTGGAACCAGAGTACCTATACCAGCCCATCACACTATGTGTTGAAATGTGGATTTCTTTCCATTATTCACTGAGAATAAATTTTATTTAAATGTACTTTTTCGTGTCTCTGGGATATCTAGTAACTGACGTGAAAGCTCTTTTTCACTGACTTTATGAAATCAGTGAGGAAGCCATAGCTTATGGTGCTTCAGAGCAGTCACACTGGAGAGAGACAAAACATGAGTTTGTGTCTTTGTTCTGGCTACATCCTAGGTGCGTGAAGAAGGTGCTGCACTTCCCCGAGCTTCGGCTGTATCACCTATAAATTGGGAGTTTAAAGCATAATGGAATTAAATGAGATCAAATAAGAAAAGTATTTGGCCACATGGCATGACTGCAATACATTTTGCAAGTCAATTCTACCGTTGCTATTAATATGATGGTCACAGTGATAGAGAATTATCCATAACGTATTCTGTCTCATAATGCCTGCTGCTGCTGATCATTACCCAAGTACCAAGGCTTTGGAGATAAAATGACTCTGGATCCTCATCTCTTACCTTATACAAAAAGCAAGTGAAGATAGATTAAGGACTTAAACCTAAGACCTGAAACTATAAAAATTCTAGTAGATAACATTGGAAAAAGACATTGGCTTAGGCAAGAATTTCACGACCAAGAGAACCCAAAAGCAAATGCAGTAAAAACAAAGATAAATAGCTGAGACCTAACTAAACCAAAGAGCTTTTGCACAGCAAAAAGAACAGTCAGCCAAGTAAATAGACAACCCACAGAGTGAGAGAAAATCTTCATAATCTCTACATCTGACAAAGGACTGATATCCAGACTCTACAATGAACTCAAACAAATTAATAAGGAAAAATCAAACAATCCCATCAAAAAGTGGGCTAAGGGCATGAACAGACAATTCTCAAAAGAAGATATACAAATGGACAAAAAACATATGAAAAAATACTCAACATCACTAATGATCAGGGAAATGCAAATCAAAACCTCAATGCAAAACCACTTATTCCTGCAAAAATGGCCATAATAAACAAACATAGATGTTGGTGGAGATGCGGTAAACAGGAAACACTTCTACACTGCTGGTGGGAATACAAACTAACACAGTCACTACGGAAAACAGTGTGGAGATTCCTTAAAGAACTAAAAGTAGAACTACCATTTGATCCAGCAGTCCCACCACTGAGTATCTAGCCGGAGAAGTCATTACTCGAAAAAGATCCTTGCACACACAAGTTTATAGCGGCAGAATTCACAATAGCAAAATCACGGAACCAACCCAAATGCTCATCAATCAAATTGAAATCAAAACCACAATGCAATACCACCTTATTCCTGCAAGAATGGCCATAATAAACAAACAGTAGATGTTGGTGAAGATGTGGTAAACAGGAAATACTTCTACACTTCTACATCAATCAGATTGATGAGCATTTGGGTTGGTTCCGTGATTTTGCTATTGTGAATTCTGCCGCTATAAACTTGTGTGTGCAAGGATCTTTTTCGAGTAATGATTTCTCCAGATAGATACTCAGTGGTGGGACTGCTGGATCAAATGGCAGTTCTACTTTTAGTTCTTTAAGGAATCTCCACACTGTTTTCCGTAGTGACTGTACTAGTTTGTCACATATATATCACATATTATGATATGATATACATAATAACTAATATATATGATAGATATATATCATATAACATATATATGTATCATATATATGTAACTCATGGCTGGGTGTGGTGGCTCATGCCTGTAATCCCAGCACTTTGGAAGGCCCAGGCTGGTGGATCATGAGATTGAGATCGAAAACATCCTGGCCAACATGGTGAAACCCCGTCTCTACTAAAAATACAAAAATTAGCTGGGCATAGTGGCAGGCACCTGTAGTTCCAGCTGCTTGGGAGGCTGAGGCAGGAGAATCGCTTGAACCCGGGTGGTGGGGGTTGCAGTGAGCCGAGATCCCATCACCGCACTCCAGCCTGGCGACAGAGCAAGACTCCATCTCAAAATAAAAAAAAAAGAAACTTATTAATGTAACCAGATACCACCAGTAGGTACCCCAATAACTGATGGAAAAAATAAATTAAAATAAAAAATAAATTATTTAAAATAAATGATAATTATAGAAATATTGGTGGTAAAGGCTTAATTAACCATGAGTTTACAAACTTCAACATAATACTCATTTATACACACAGTTCTTTTACTTAGAAAACTGTCATATTGCCAGTGTTAGGATATGGATAGATATTTATACCTGAAAAAAACAATTTGAGGCGTGTAATCTTTTCCTAAACTTGTGCATAAATATCGTGTCCCTTGATTCACATCCGCAGCTCACTCTAGTGTGCATTTGCTACTTGAAATTTTTTCTTAATTGGAATGTTTGGGGTATGCTTTGCCACTGAATCGCAACATTCTGCAGTGGACAGAACAAACGCATACTGAGCACCAACCTTGTAGCATGAAACATCTTGTTCTTGCTGCCTTCATGCCTTTTCAAAGATTATCTCATTAAATCTTTTCACTTGACTCTTATGTTGAAACAAAAACATTCATTCCATCATATTTATGAGAAAATTAAGACCTTCCCAAGGTCAACACAGTTAATAAGTGGCAGAGATGGTTTTCAAACTCAGATTTGTCCAAATACAGTCTTTCTATTTGCTGTATAGGAAGGATTTATCATTTGGAATCTATTTCAATTAATAACTAATAAATGTTTCTGATTATTTTCTCAAATACCAGTTTTAATGAGATATACTTCAAATGCCTAAACTTATAGAAGTGAATGAATTTATAAGCTAAGAAGAAAAACACATGAATTCAGTATTTTTAAACTGAGGAAAAATAGTTAAAAATCATTGACATTATTTCTCATTTTCTTGCTCATTTCTTAATACTATTTCTCTGGTCAGAAACCATGATTGGTTTTGCCTAGATGATACCTGATCTCTACTGTCTCTCAACTCTTAATTTTTCATGCAACTCTGGAAATTGAATGGGATATCTGTGCAAAAATGTAGATGACTTACTCTAAGAACCTATATTCAGAAGTGACAATTCAGACTGATTCAGTGCCACCTTTAGGGATAATGGTTTAAAATATTAATTCTGTGACAAAGTTTTTAAAAATCCCGGCTTAATTCCTTTTGAAGAAATCTCAGACCATTTCCATGAAGAGAAGAACAATACCATGTTCTACCCTCACTTGGTATCCATTGAATATAAATAAGCTTATTACATCAGAAATATAATTGAAATCATAACACTGATTTGTTTTGTGCTGAGTATGTATGTGTCCTTCATGCTCACTTTTCACAGCCCAACCCCGGCAATCTCTGGGTTGCTATGATTAGGTGTTACGTGTCAGACCTGCCAGCTTGAGCCCTAACAGGACAGAAGTTGTGTTCTCATAATGCTTGCCTTCTGAGCTGGCAATCAGATAGTACTTAATGGAATTTTTGTGAATATGTAAGTGATGAAGACAATAATGTATAAACTTAAAATATCCCTAATTTTAGAAGAATCTGGTAATTAAGACATGTATATGTGTAATTTAAAAAATATCCTTAGCACTCCTTGAAACTAAGCCTGAATGTGGAAACATTCCACTTTGTAACTGCAGCCTTCCCGATTGTTATCAGGAGTACATGAGATAATAACCATAAAATACTTACCAAAATGGCCAGCATGGAGGAAGTCATCAGTAAATGTCACTCTGCTCTAGTGTGCACAGCCAGCTGGCTTGCAGCCCTGCACAACGTACTTGAGTTGGAAGTCCTCAGATCTGATAAAAGTTTATTAAATCAAATGTAATAACAAAAAATGAAATGGCAGTTAACACACTCCTTATTGAGAGGATTTACATTTCAGAGGGTGGAAGAAAAACTGTTTCGTGAACAATAATATGTCTCACTTTATTAGACATATTTCTTATATGAACTTATTTATACTTGTAACTGCTTATTAAACTGTGATCTTTGGGTTTATAAATGTCTTATCTCTCTAACCACACTTGATGTTTTTGAGGGAATAAAACATTCTTCTAAAAAGAACCACGAACAGTACCTTCTAAATATTTTTAAATATACCACAAAAACTTTAAGACAATTATGTATCTGTATATATATCTATACGTTTTATAGAGAGTTGTGTATGCGTATAAAGAGAGAGAGAGTCACACGCTGGGTATGCATGGAGAGACAAGCATAATTGCATATAATAGAATGGTTTGTGAAGTGAACATAATTGTGTCAGAAAACAAGAGTTTGCATTCTGATAATGATATTTAAATACAGAGAGGTCTTGGGCAGGTCACTTAACATCTTTAGTGTCTTCATCTAGACCTGTACTATCCAATATAACATTCTGACATAATGGAAGTCTTCTGTTTCTCTGCTGGCCAATATGATAATCACTAAGTGCATGTGGCTATTGAGCACTTGAAATGTGACTAGTGTCTGAGGAACTGAATTATAAATGGTATTGAATTTTAATTATTTTAAATCTAAATAGGCACATGTGGCAAGTGGATACTTCAGTGAACAGTATAACCATAAAATCAAGGAGGATGGGACAATATCATATAAAAAGAAGGTCTTGTGAATTCCCTTATGGGTGCTACGAATGCTGTTTTGAGCAAAATGATTCCCTTTTGAAACGGTGATACTCTCCTGTGATATCTTAGGACTTTAAATGCTTTTCCCCTTATTTCTTCCAACAGATCTTGACAACTTTAAAACAAGAACAAGAAGCACTGTGTCTGTCCGTCGAGGTCAAGGAATGGTACTACTGTGTGGCCCGCCACCCCATTCTGGAGGTACATATAAATGCACTGACATGTGTACACTTCACTCACTGTTATTTTTTTGTTGTTGTTGAATGTTCTCCCTTCTGACACCAGCTGAGTGGACGGTGTCATTTACAGAGATTCCCAAAGTCCCTTCATGTAGAGGAAAAAACATTGTGAATGCCTCCCATCATTAATATAGGAAAATGTCAGATTGTGCAAATTTTCCACACCACTGCTGTCTACCTGGCACAAGAGGAAAGACACCTAAGTCAATCAAAGTCAGAATGCTATTGCTTGGTAACGCAGTGTAATTTAAATGACTCATACTTCTTACAACTTGATTGGGTTAAAAAACATAGCCCTGCGTCACTTCATCTCCTGGATGGTCTGAACTGTCTGTGAACTGTTTCTACTCACAATACTTCTGACACCAAATGTTTGCGTTTTTTCCACACCAACAACCAAGTCTCAATCTTCTGGATACCAACTGGCTGTCCAATGATTCAATTCCATTCTGACACTAACTACCTCACTAACTACTCTAGGATGGTTAGTGTCAGAACTCATAGGATAAAGGCTCAGGCCCACAAAACTGCCTCCATTTCAGATGCCACTTGCAAGGCCTTGACCTCCCATATTTCTGACTAACTGGCTATAAAGTAGGGACTCCCCTAACTCCCTTCTTGGCTTCCATAATTTGCTAGGATGTCTCCCAGAACTCAGGGAAAATGGTTCACTTACCATACCAGTTTGTTATACAAGATACATATGAACAACCAGATAAACATATGGAGCGAGTGAGGGCTAAAGGGTTCTGAGGCAGGAGTTTCTACCCTTGTGGACCCTCCCTGCATATGGATGCCCAGAAGCTCTCCAAACCCTGTCGGTTAGGGGTTTTATGCAGGTTATGTTATGTAGGCATGATGATCAAATCTATGGCCATTGGTAATTGAACTCAATTTTCAGCCCTTCTCCCATCCCCAGGAATGGGGAATAAGGAGGCTGAAAGTTTTAACCCTTTAATTATTTGGTTGGTTCCTCTGACAAGCAGTCAAAGGGCTTCACCAAGAGTCACCTCATTAGCATAAACTCAAGTATAATTGAAAGGGACCTATTTATGAATAACAAAAGATACTCTTCTCACCAGTATCACTCAGGAAATTACAAGAGTTTTGGGATATAGATGAAATATATATTTATATATTTCTTATTAATTACAGTATCACAGGATCAGACCAAGAAAAAAAATTTCCTTGACCATAGAATCTAAGATCACTTTGTGGAGACTCATAACAACTACATCAGTTAGGAATGCATTTAACTGCAAATAACTGAAAACCCAGCTCACAATATTGTTTTTCTCACGTGCAAGATTTCCCTTTTTTTTTTTTTTTTTTGAGACAGAGTCTCACTTTGTCACCCAGGCTGTAGTGTAGTGACGTGATCTTGGTTCTTGGCTCACTGCAACCTCTGCCTCCCCGGTTCAATCAATTCTCATGCCACAGCCTCCCAAGTAGCTGGAATTACAGGCTCCCACCACCACACCCAGCTAATTTTTACATTTTTAGTAGAGATGTGGTTTTACCATGTTGATCAGGCTGGTCTCAAACTCCTGACCTCAAGTAATCCACCCGCCATGGCCTTCCAAAGTGCTGGGATTACAGGGGTGGGTGAGTCAGTGCACCCAGATGGCATGCAAGAATTTCAAAGGTATGTAATCTAAAGCTAACACAGCTTCTTGAGGATGTCTTCTAGGACTCATGCCCTTCACTGATCCCACTCTGAAGTGTTTAGCATGTGGTATGGATGAGGCATAAAGTCTGCATTCCAAACCAGATCAAATGGGAAGAAGCAAAGACAAAAGGCGAAAGTTTGTTTTTGTCCATTTCAATTTACCTTCATTATCTAAAGTTTTTTTTGTTTTTTTTTTTTTTCACTTGAGGACTTCGCCTTCATTTCATTGATCACCCCAGTGGCAAAAGAGAGTGAAAAATCAAATATTTCATGCCCTGGAAAATATCATAATTTTGTTAATAAGGGAGAGTATGGAGAGATGTGTAAGCAACTTGCAGTGTCAACTTAAAGGACCTATAATGACTAAAGGGCAAATATAACTGCACATAAAGGATTCAGTTATGTGGAGGCTTAATAAGTAGTGATATTTATTAGGATTTCACTAAGGTCTGTAATGACAAAATTGATAAGTTCCACTCTTGGAGGTTCAGGCTGATGTTTAGTTCAATATCTGCTATTCTTGTTATTGCCTTAGTTTTCAGTTTCACCTTCCATATGATTAAAAGAAGAAATGTTTTAAATTTGGAATTTGAAGAACATTTTTATTTTTGTCCTCCATTCAAAAGTTGTAGTGTTTCCTTTCTCATCTAATTCTGAGCTAACATTTTCAGCAGAAAATAGCAATTAGTAAAGGAGGTAAAATGCGTGTATTTCAAGCATACTGCATACAAAGGAAGGGTGGGAGAGCCAGGTTCCCCTCTATGTCTGGATCAGGGACATGGAATTGTTAGTATCTCCAGTTTTTGAAGACTGACAGAAAATCTAGGTTTGATTTCAAAGGTTTGTGTTTGGAAAATGGGATTATTCTTTAGAATTTCATTTTCCTTTCAAGTTAGTGTCAGAAGCACTAAATCTGGAGTCCAGGATATGAATTTTTATCCTTTTTCTGTTTCAAATCATTATTTGATACTGGGAAAATATCGTCAGATTTTTTATGCCTCACTCTGCCTACGTATAAAATGAAGAGATTAAAGAAATCTCTCAAATCCCTATTGATTCTATCAATAATTATAACTCAATAAGGGCTAAACATCTTGTTTATCAAGTATGTTTGCATTATTGAAGGCCTATCCTTTACATGAGAAAACCACTCCACTGTGGATATATATTTAGATTCAGGTGAAGTTCACTCAGACTAACACTTCTCCTTTTAATATGAAGTCTGATCAAAATTAAAATTGTAGATTTTACTAATTTGTTTTGCAGGCTACCTTCACTGCCTTAAGCTTTCATCACATGGCTGCAAATCTAAAAATTAATCTTGTAGGTATATTAAAAAAAAATACCACTACTCTCTGGTATAATGATCTCTTTAGGAAAGGCAAAACACATGAAGTGATGCTGTGCTGCTGTACAGTGAAGCACCTGACTACTTTCCCTTTCCCACGGAGAGATGTATTAAAATTTTCCATAGACATCTACTGAAATGCACTTGTCTCTGCTGGCAGCAGTCAGCAGCTCTGAAATCCAGTTTCTTGAGCTGTGCTGACATTCCTGACAATCTTGATGGTGAAAGACAAGCAAATAAATATTCTTATTATGAGTTCTATTAGAAACGGTGTGCATAGTAACGCTGTAGGCAAAGCTGGCACGGCTAGGAAATTTTTGAGAAAGAACAAAAAGATCTTCAAGGTTATAAGAGAGCATCTCAGCCATCCATCAGTTTCGGGCAAGGGAGACAATGATTATCTGATGAAATCCTTCCAATTTCTCAAAAGGCTCCAATGCAACAGTACAACACTGATTCTCTCACCGCTTTCCTGGACTGTGTGTCACCCTAAACTGGCAGAATCATTGTGAGCCACTGGGCATACTGAGCATTTTAGACCCAGCATATGGTCTCCTGGTTTCCATTGTAACAGATCATGCAGAGGAAAGGAAATGAGTCAGCCTTTTATTATATCAGTGGGGTACTGAGTAATGGCATGAAATCCATTGTAAGGGATGCTGCATGTCCTATTTCGAAAGCTGTGCAGTGTCAGACCTTCTTAGGGTAGCAGAGAAATGAGCAGCAATTAATCTGTTTTGAAAAGCATTTCAGTCAGCAGGTATTTCCAGCACTTTACCAATTACTATATGTGGCATCTTTGTCATCTCTTGGTTTATATCCATGAATTCAGATGTGATATTTTTGCATAGATTTTTACCATTAAATATAACAGAACACTAAAAAATAGAAATCACTTTGATGGACTCTGGCTTTCTTTGGTGCTCCTTCCTATTAGAAACAGAGATTATTGAGGTCCAGAATGTCCACTTTGCTTTCTGCCAACTCCAGGGTCACTGGGCATCAGGAATTCATGACCTTTAACCAAGCTCTCATTAAACAGGAATTGAGCAGAGGAACTTTGAGATTCTTCCTTCCAATATACAAAAATTTCTAGGTTATTCATCAAAAAAACCCTCACGAACTGTTCATCAAAAGAAATTTTTGTTCAAGACTTCCTTTTATATGTCACCAAGGTGCTTGCTACTCAAAGCGTGGTCCATGGACCAGCAGCATTGGTCTCACCTGGAAATTTGATAAAAAGGTAGAATCTCAGACCCCACCACAGCCTACTGAATCAGAACTTGCATTTTAATAAGATCTCCAAGTGCTCATATACACATTAAAGTTTGAGATGCCCTCATTCATAGCTGTGGTTCCCACGTGCGCCCTACCTCTGGCCAGTGGGGGTTGACAGCTTGAGAAACTAAAGGGCAGCTTGTTAAAACCATAGGTGTCCAACCTGTTCACAAGGATATTCTGATTCCATAAATCTGGGGCAGGGTTCCAAGGCTGTTAAAAAAAAAAAATCAGGCCGGGCACGGTGGCTCACACCTGTAATCCCAGCACTTTGGGAGACTGAGGTGGGAGGTCAGGAGTTTGAGACTAGCCTGGCCCACATGGTGAAACCCCATCTCTACTTAAAATACAAAAATTAGTGGGCTGTGCTGCTGTGCACCTGTAATCCCAGCTACTTGGGAGTCTGAGACAGGAGAATCGCTTGAACCCAGAAGGCAGAGGTTGCAGTGAGCCAAGATTGTGCCATTGCACCGCAGCCTGGCGACTGGGGTGAGACTCTGTCTCAAAACAAAACAACAAAACAATAAAACTCTAGCTGACTCACTGACTCTGAGGCAGCTCCAGATCTAAACTCCATTCACTTGGATCATCTACAAAAGTAGCTCCGGTCTGGCCCTGCTGAAATGGAGTGCTTTGATTTCCACATCACTCAGGCAGAAGGGCTGAA